ATGACTGCTGGAGCCAATGATTCTCAGAGAATCATGACCTTGAACACATTTAACTGGTAGTTCTCATTATGGGCTACAGCCATTCCTTTAAATGAAACCTAAAGTACATTTTCAAATAAGGCTTAAAAGCAGAACTCAAGTCACCTAAGCAGTCTCACCAATATATCTATAGCAGATAGTGCAGGAAATCACCAAGGCATTAAACCAAGCCTCAGTCTGGTAGCACAAATCCATCTATGTGCAAACGAAGCCCCAGTTTAATTCCACAGCCAGGATGACTCTCCCTCCTGCTTCAGTCCATGCACAGCAGCAAACAGCACTCAAGGGCAAGCAGAGATCCCACTCTGCTTCTGCATTTGTCAACGCCACTGGAAACCTGCCCTGGCTTCTTCCTGAACTGCACAGCAAGAGATGAACACGAGTGATGCGAAAAGCCAGACAGGCAAGTTAAAAAAAACAGAAAGGTGTTTATAAGCAGAAGACACTTCAGAAACTTTATCTACCCTGCAAGAAGGTAGTGGTAGTGAGAACTCTGATCAGTCAGAAAAAGACAGTATGAAAAATAGGAATTTAAAAATGCATGTCCCTTCAGATTAACACAAAAAGACCGTTTCAGATCTAAAGTTGCTTCAACTATAAAGTGGTCCATCAATGAGAAGAGCTTCCCAAAAATTACCACAAAATGTATGACTGTAAACACAAATGATAACTTTTGCAGAATCCCAGAATAGTTGGGTTGGAAGAGACCTTAAAGACCATTCAGTTCCAACCCCCTGCTATGGGTCAGGACATCTTCCACCAGACCAGGCTGCTCCAAGACCTATCCTTTAATTCTATTTTCTCAAAAGGTTAAATTTAAGCAGAACTACAGCCTGTTTATTCAAGGATGTCCAAGAATCCACATTAAACAATGCTCACATAACTCACAGTGGCTTATTTCAGCACTGAAGCCTCCAAATTAACCAATTCATTTATTTTAATGGTAGTCAATGGAAAAATTTACATGCAAAATGTTGGCAGCAATTTCAAAATGACTACTGTAACACTGAGGGACAGCCCTTAAGAGTTTTGTCTGGTTAAATTTAAAAAATGATATGCAAAATCCAGTAAGTCTGTACAACAAAGTCTTCCTCAGCTGAGGATGCACCTCCTTGCTAAGGAGTAGCAAAATCAAGAAAGTCCTTGGTTAATGAGAAATATTCCATGTATATGCACACAGCTACCAGAAACCCCATCCCAAAAAGCATTCAATGTCAGGTCCAAATCTTTCACTGCTACACAACTCAGCCACTGACTACAGCTCACGTCTGTTTGCTGTTCCTCCTTCAATTTACATCATTTTAATCGAGTGACTTTCCTGAGAGGTCACAGCTGCCCATCCCCACTGTGCAGTCCCAAAGGATTTAAGGGCACCAGGCCACTGACACCTGCCTTCAGTGACAGCCACCCCCCGCAGGCAGGGACAGGCTCCTCACAGCTTAGCAGAAGCGACACTGCTGGAATAAAGGCTTCAGGGCACGACTCAAAGTTAGGGGACAAAGGGGCACCAGGAGCAAGGGGCCAGGACATGCACCTCAAAACATGAAGGCACCAGAGAAGTCAAACAAAAGCTACTGACAAAGGCAGAAACAAACACCCTGACACTATTCAGGTACTTGGAACTGCATTCAGCATCTCCTTAACTCCCTCCAGCCCCACGTTCCAAGAAATATATAATGAGCCATTACTTTGACAGGACTTCAAACAAAGCTGCTTTCTTTTTTTCTTCAAAAAGAATTAGAATATGAATGTTTCTGCTTCACCAAGAAATCCAGAGCCTTTTGTGAGCAGATGATGCTACGAGCAGATGTACACAAGCAGATTCACAATAAAGCAGATGATCTCTTCTTTACCAGCCATCTTGACCTGTCTGGCTCGATTTACATAAACTGTTTCTATTCACTACAACATTGATTATGTAAACCTCGGCAAAACCTTCACCAAACACACGCTGCCACATCCCTGCCAGCACAGACGTAGCACAGAGCTGGGACAAGGTTATCAGCAATGTGTTTGCTGCACACACCAAACGCCTCGGGCTCTGCTGGGGCTCACGCTGAGGTGCACACTGAGCAATCCCAACTATTGAGACAATAAGAACGTGCCCTGCTGGGAGAGCCACCTCCTGCCAAAAAAACACATTTCCCTCCATTTAAAGGTCAAGGTACAGCAACCCCACTTTCATACTGCTAAGGCAGAGCGAGAGCAAAAGATAAAGGGAAAGTTTTGTCATCTTAAAAACAGGAGCTCAGCAGTTTGCCAGGTATGCCAATTCCTTTGTTCATCATCCTTTTCACCACCTAATTTAAAAGTCTCACAGTTCAAGACACAAGTTATTCATCAACATCACAATCAAGGCTTTTTTAAAAAAAAAACAAAACAACAACCCACACAGTGTCTCAAAACAGCTTTTTCTTTTCTTTTTTTTTTAACCTAGCTGCGAGGCTGTTCTATCAATTTTAATCAGGCAGTTGTAACAGGAGCTGCAACAGAACGCTTCTGCTGGTCCCCAGGTCTCAGTTTCGCTGCAGGGAGGAGAGCAGATTTACATTGTCTTATTTAAATGAAACTCCAGATTACAAGATTTTAATACAAAACAGGTATTAAGTGGTTTTTTTAGCATACTGAACAGCTTAAGCTGTTCCAAGAGTTCCTAGTCACAAATGTTGAGTCACCAAAGAGAGGGATGTTTGCATTATTTATGGCACTACAAACATTTAAGACACCTCTGATAGGACACGCAGTAATGAACTCCTGTAGTGGCAAAGGGCTCTTAAAACAACAATCTTCCGTCTAAAAATTAAAAATACAGTTACTGAAGTCACGAGATTTCCTGGATTGCTTCCATCACGTCCACCTAGCCCTACATCCCATTGTGTGAGCAGTGACAGCCAATGCCCCATTGTTTGAGTGCAGCCACGGGGACACTCAGCTCCCTTGCACAGACTTCTTGTCCCTGGCTGCACTGCAAGGACAACAGCATCTGTTTGCACTTTCAGTACATCTTACACCGACAAGATGCAGCCTCAGTAGTTTCAGAGAATAGCTGAAACTCAAACAGGACCCAAACTCAGCCACATACATTTTATTTCGATTTTATTGGCGTGTTTCAACGCACACAGTGAAGATCAAGAGCCCAGCAGAACCGATAAGCCGAGATCAATGAGTCCCCATATTAAAGGCAAACCTCACCAGACTTTGCCAGGTTAAGATCAGAGCCAAAACATTTCATACTTCTGCACTTTCAACTGCTGCTAAAAATAGTAAAGCAACAGAAAGGAAAATGCTTCCAGCTGTGCACAAAGAGCCTCTGCAGCACAACATCAATTTACGCACTCTAATTTAATTAAAGGTTCTGCATTATACTATGACTTTATTGTCAGAGACAGTGTTGCACAGCTGAGCTCACCCTCCATTGCCGCAAATGAAACAGTAAGAACGTCTCTTTATTGAATTCAGTGTGATATGGGTATTCCTCACGAATCAAGGGACTTAAATTCAAGGATTTCAAGCGCCAGCTACGCCACGTTCACGATAGCAGCTGTGTTTTATTCCACGGTAACTGCATCTTGACCCAGTCTCGTGACAGGAAACATTCAGCATCCCTTAAGGAAAAAAGGTGCACGACTGGATGGAGTACCCAGCCTGGACTGCTCTTTTCCAAACACTTCTTCTGCAAAGGTGAACACGGCTCTTTAGGAAAGCACCGAAACAGAACAAAAATCCCCAAGAAACCAGAACAGGGTTTTCTACGACCTTGCAGCAAATACGGACCAGGTTCTGGGGGAGGCTGAGCAACGCAGCGAGGCTGTGACCGTGCTGCTTGGCGGCTGGCTCCAAACCTTTCCGTCGTGTTTAGCGCTGAAAAATCACTCCATTACCCACACGTTACCACGTACTGAACTCCCAAAATTAAGCGTCTCTCCTGAGGTTGGCGAGGGCTCTCAGCAAGCGCGGCTTAGACGCTTCTCCCTCATCTGCCGCCGCGGCGCTCAGCAGAGCGGCTGCGAGCTTTAACAGCAGGGCAACAGCGTAATGCCAAGCGGATTACTTTAAGATCCATATCAAGCCGAGAAAATAAACATTTCCACGACGAATCCGAATATAAGCGCTTCACCCTCCTCGCTCCAAAGTCATCTCCCTGCCATCTGCACGGAGGACGCCGTTCTCCCGCAGCCAGCGGCCGAGGGACGGCGGCACCGGCCGAGGCACGGGGCCCGCAGCGGGGAGCGGGGGGGTTTCTGTGTCATAACCCCGCACCCCCAGGCCCCGCAAGAAGTTTCTTCCCCAAGCCCCGCCGCGACCTCGATGCCCGAGAGCGGCCGGGCCCCGCTCCGCCCGTTCCTCCGGCACCGGGACCCCGTAAGGGCCGCGACGCGCGGGCCCCTCCGGCACCGGGACCACCCCCATCCATCCCTCCCTCCCCGTTCCTCTCGGGCACCGGGTCCCCGTTCCAACCCTCCCCGTTCCATTCCAGGAGTGGGTCCCCGCTCCAACCCTCCCCGTTCCCCTCCGGCACCGGGTCTCCGTTCCAACCCTCCCGGCACCGGCAGCCCGCAACGGCCGCACCGCGCGCCCCGTCACGCACCGGGACCTCCCCCCCCTTCACTCCCCCGTCCCTCGCCGCTCCTCTCAGGCACGGCGCCCCCCCCCCCCCCCCCCATCAAACGCTCCCTACTCCGCTCAGGCAACGGGACCTCCCCCCCAATCCATCCTCCCCTGCTCCCCTCGGGCACCGGGATCACCCCCCCGCTTCCAGCGGCCGCGCCGCGCACTCGGCCGGGGAGAAGGCGGGAAGCGCCACGCGCCCCCTCGCGCCCCCCTCCAGCTCCGAGCGCTCCCTCGCAGCGCGGAGACGCGGCCGGCGCTGAGCCGGAGGCTGGCAGAGGGCAGCTCCCGCCGCCCCGGGACCGTCGCGCTTCTCCCCCCGCCGCTCCCTGGAGCCCCTGCCCAGCACTCACCCCAGCACCACCAGCTCCCCATACTTGACGGGCTCCTTGTTCAGCGCGCACAGCTCCTCCTGGCTGGCGGAAAACATGGGGCCGCCGCTGTGGGAGCACCGGGCCGGGCTGCCCCGTCCCGGCCGCCGGTGCGGGAGCGCGTCCCGAGCGGGCTCTGCTCCGCTCTGCACCGCCGGCCAGCGGCAACGGCCACTACACCGCGGGGGGCGCGGGGGGCGGGGCCACCGGGGGGACGGACCAACCCTCCGCCGCGGGGGGGCGGGAGGAGCGAACCGGCGCCGTCCCCCCCCCCGCGAGGCTGCGAGTGGCCCCGCCCTCCCCGCGCCCATTAACGGCCGGCGAACGGGGCGGGGCTGGGCGCGGGTGCGCACCGCCCCCTCCCGCGCGCCGCGACCCCCCCCCGCACAGGCAGCAGTGGTACGGCCCGGCCGTGTTATGTAAACATAGAGTAAAGGGGACCCAGCCGCTCTTAAAGGGGCCGCGCACCGGCGGCCGCGGCTCGGGGTCACCGAGGGGTCCCGAGCGGGGGCTCTGGGTCACCCCAGCCCGGGTTCCACAGCACCTGTGGGGCTCTGGATCCCCTCCTATCCCCGGGATGCACGGCGTGTCTCTAGACCGCAGGTTCGGGTCACTGCGGGGCCGCGTCGCCTCCTGTCTGGGCTTGGGGTTCTGAGGGAGCGCCCCGAGAGCTCCCGGGGCTGCTCCTGCCCCTGAGGGAGCGGCGCCGCCATTGCCCAGCCCCTGCCCCTTCCCTGGGCTCCCACCGTCAGACCCTGCCCTTGCCGTGATCCCCTGTCCCATCTCCTGTCCCTCATCCCTGGAGCCCAATTCCAGCCTCTTCTGCCTCCTTCTGAGGGGACAGGAATTTCTGTCTGAGGGGACGGAAATGCCCTCAAACCCTTTGTTCTTTACTGGTCTTTCAGGTCCTTCCCAACCCAACCCATTCCATGACTTCCAAGGATATTTTTCCGCCTCGGTGTCTGCCCCACCATCCCCTTCTCTCCTCCTTTGTCCTCTGCACCTGACTAAAGCCCAAAACCAGCAAAGATTGTCCTGATGTTAATCCCTGCTGAGGACTGAAACTCTCATTAGCTGATATTTGAGGTTTCCAACCCATTATCAAAGACAAAAGCAATGAGAGCATCCACCTTTGCTGAAGAGTATCCTTGGGGCCAGCACAGTCCCATCTGCTCCTGCTGAAAGCTTTCCCTCTGCCAGAAATTGTATTTAGCTATTAATTTTACTGGTAATATTATTTTTCTGTCATTCCAGTGAAGAGGTGAAATGGAAAAACACAACCAATCTCGAAGGGCTGCAAAATGGAGATCTTCCCAGGGGCTGTGTGAAGAAGACAAGATTTTATTGAAGACAGGGAGCTGAATTATTATAGATTTATCTTCTTTATTGCTCTAACAAAATAGAAAAGAAAGCCAGGCTGTAAGTCACTGTCAAAGGAAACAAATAAATTCCCCAAAACAGCGTGGAAAACAAACTCCTGGCTGCATCCTCTTCAATTTCTGCATTTCTCCCCTGAAAGCAAGACCTCCCCAGCAGCCTGGCTTTCACATGACATTAACAAACTCCAATAATCTTCAAAACAATGCTCCCAAGCAGCTCAGCTCAGATGGGCTTCCATAAGTCAGTGATGGGTCTGGACTTGGAGCATCTTTTACTGCTCCCACTTGGGGATGGAGGGATGAGGAAGGACCTTGGAGGGATGAGGAAGGACCTTGGAGGTCTGAATTTGTCCCTCTTTTCCACTTCCACGTTTTCTAACACTGCTCTTTTTGGAAAACAGGGGGCAAGTTGGGCAGCTCTGCACCTTCTTCCCAAACCTGCAGGTGTTTTTCCCAGCACACAAACCAGTGCATTTGCTGTCATTAAACACAGAAGTGACTCCCACTCCATGACTACAGAAAATGCACTGGTTTGCACTGCTGAGGAAATTATTAAATACAGAAAATGCTCTTCTTGGTATTGCTGAAAAATGAATGTGCAGGAGAAAGAAAAAAAGATCCCAGTGGGATTCACAGAGGAATATTTACATCTGTGGTGGATGAGCTGTGCTGGGTGAGGGGCACTCACCTGCCATGCACCTGTGGTGAGACACTGTGGCATAAACCCTGAGCTTGAGCTGATCCATTATTTTTTTCCTTGGATTTGTGCTTCATTAGTCCATGTCCAATCTCTTCATTCTGCCCACGGGGTGTTTTAGGCTGAGGGAAGATTCAGCCCCAGCCCCACAAGGTGTTCTGAGGGCTGTTGAGTCTTTTCTTGCCAAATTTTAGGTTTTCTCATTTCAATTCCCAAAGACCAATAGCTGCCAGCACTGGGAACCTGTTTAGAATTGTTTAATATTTAAAATTCCTACATTTTGGCTAATGAAGCAGGGCCAGGAGGAGGCAGCAGCTCTGCCACACATTACACAGCTCCCTGTGCCACACAGATCCCAACCCCAAATCCCAGCCCCTCTATTTCCACCAGCTCCAAAAAATTCCTTTTGCAACTGATACAAGAAACACTTGGTTGGCATTTTCCCCCAAACCCATTGAAATAATTGGGAAATAAGCCCACAGCTGCACTCTGCTACTTTTCAGCTCAAAACATCCTTCCTTTTTGGATTTGGGGTGTCTCAGGGTGGTTTTTCAGGGCAGTGAAGGGAGGTTGGGTTGTTTTCCAACCAAAAAAAACTGAAAGTTGGAGTCACAGATAACTTGGAGCTCCTTCCAGGCTGCATCAACACTGAAAGAGGGATTTTGCTCCCAGGTTTAGCACGAGCAGCTGCTTGGCTGGGTGGAGGAATATCCAGCCAAGCCAGGCAAGCATTAAAAATCAATGTTTGGAGAAAAAAAAATAAAAAATCCCAAACATGAAGAAATAGTACATGCCCATTTATTTTTAAAATGCAATAAAAAGTTATTTTAAATGCAGGAAGATTAATAAGTCTCTAATTTAGCAAAGTACTTCCAGATGTGCTGGACTCTGAGTGTACTTCAGTGCTTTTATGAATCAGGGCTTAGGGAATGGGCTTCAAAAGTACTGAAAGAGGTTTTTAAAGTGAAAGAGGGGAGATTTAGATGGGATATTGGGATGAAATTCTTGGCTGTGAGGGTGGGGAGGCCCTGGCACAGGTTGCTCAGAGAAGCTGTGGCTGCCCCTGGATCTCTGGAAGTGTCCAAGGCCAGGCTGGAGCACCCTGGGATGGTGGAAGGTGTCCCTGCCCATGGCAGGGGTGGGATGGGATGGGATGGGATGGGATTTAAGGTCCCTTCCCACCCAAACCATCCTGAGATCCTCTAAACAGCCCCTGCATCACAGCTGCAGCTCACACTGCATGTGGAACTCATGGCACTTGGGATCAGAGCATAAACAGGGATAAAGGTTTGCACTCCTGGTTCAGAGAGAGATTTCCAGGCCTGGGATCAGGTTCAGCCATCAGTGGGGATGGTTGGGCTGGGAAAATGAAACTCTGGGATGGCAAAAGCCTGGATTTGGTGCTCCAGAGAGGGGAATAAACCCCAGGGAAGGAGAAAAACTCTCTCAGCTCTAAGGTTGGGATCAAGCAGGTATCACCTGGTGGGTGACACCTTTCAGGCTGGAAAGGCTCCAGCTGGCAGGTGAGTGAAACTCTCAAGCAGCCACCAAGTAGAAATAGCAGAAGAAAGAGCAGCAGGTGTTTTAAAAGTAGATTTGATAAATAAATTACTGGAAAAATAAGATGTGATTGCTCACATTGATGCAACACCAAGATTAGCATGTTTGGGGGAGCCTCTCAGTCCATGTCTCAGGGGTTCAGTGCCCCACTTAGGTCAGGCTAAAACAGATTTTCTTTTCCTTACTCCATTTGAAAATCTCTTCTATTGTCTTAATTTTCCACCGTGGCATGTAATGGTCTCGACTCACAGTACCACCTAAAATTTACAGAGGAGAATTGCATTAAAAAATAAGTGGAAAAGCTAAAAGGATAAAATGCTTTCAAATACCCTGGCAGCAGCTTAAAGATATGGTAAAGGCTCCAGCTTAATATGTAACACTCCTTAATAAAGACCCTAAAGGAATTTTTAAAAGCAAAGAAGTTAAGTAGCAGAGTGGGGAAGGCTATTAGGAACAAAAAAGATAGCTGTCAAAAATGAGGGAAATGAAATATAGCACAAACACTGGCAAATATAAAACCACAGCAAGGCAAGTGCAGAAGATATTTCAAAGCAGTTCACCAGAGGCATAAAAATGCTCATAAAAAAAGCAGAGGCAGAAATTCAACCAGGGACTCACTGGGACCAGCAAGCAGTGAAAGTGAGAAGTTTGGGGTGAAATAAAACACTGGTGGGCTGAGTAAATGAGCTCCCCATGTGTCTGGGCTTGAGACTCCCACAGAAAAACCCTCCTCTTCTGCAGTGGCTTTGGTGAGCTTCTTAAATATAAGTTTCACCAAGAAAATTTTGGATTAAAAAGGTAAATTGGCAGAGGAGCAAATTTCCAGAGTGAGATATCACCGGCCCAAGACTTTGAAAGAGATTAAAATACAAGGATATGAATAATTGTATAATTATATTCCATAAAACATTGTATAAATATATTATTGTATATATTTGCATTTGTACAATTCTGTGAAGGGTTGCACTTGTCTGCAGGATGAGAAATAACAAACCTGCTACCGAAGAAGCAAGTTTAAAAAATTAAACTTTAGGAGTCAAATTCTGACCTGCACTACACAAATGAAAATCCAGTGGAGTTCAGGTAAATGTGGATACCTGGGATGCACTGGGGAGATCTGATACACCAGGGAAAGGGCAATGTGAAGTTTTTGCAGAAAGAAGTCAAAGTTTATAAGGCATTCACACCCCTTAAAGCAGTCAATGAATATGTTGGAGGAGGTGATTGCATGTGTATCACATACCTGGGGTTCAGCAAAGCTTTGGCACCACAAGAGCTGTCAAAGAGATAAAAGTTGCATGAGATAAAGAAAGGGCTGCATGGATTAGCAGTTGAGACAAGAGAAACCAAAGGCTGGAAATCAGTTTTCATTTTCACAGTGGGGAGAGGTTATTGCTGGGATTTTGTGGAATTGTGAGGCCCTGGCCAGGCTGCTGACTTCTAATGGGAAAGTTTGCTGACAAGCCAAAAAAATTTTAAACTGACTGCAAGGAGTTCTAGAAAGACCCAGCAAAAAATGTCCAAGTAAAGTAGATAGACAGATATGGCTAA